TTTGTATTGTAGTTGAAAGGAAGGAAACAATTCTGCGTTGTGTGTGCAAATGACTGAATAGATCAAAGACTTTTTTGGTACATTTTTAAAAGACTTTTTTTTGGTACATTTTTAAAAGTACTATTTACAGTTTTTGTAAAGTAGAATGTAGTTTTAAAACTTTAAATACTTTTTGCTTAATTTATTTACTTGGTTACATAGTAGGTACTTTTTTCTGTTAAAAAAGTACCTTTTTATTAGTTTTTTTAAAGCTTGTTTCCTCTTTATTTTCTTTATTTACTCACTTGTGTATGAGTAAGCATTCTTATGAGTTTCTTAAGTAAATACTGTTAGGTTTTGCTGTATTTTAAACTTTTCTTTTATTTTAAAAATATTACAACTTTTCTTGTTGTAGTTAAACAATAGTTTTATTTAAGTTTAGTTTTTTACAACAATTTTTCTGCTTTCTTCTATTATGTACTTCCTTAAAAGAAACATAGTGGAAAATTTTAAGAGTTTTTCTTTTATTTTCTTTGAAAGAAATGACAAATTAAGTTTTTTCTTTTGTTTAATTTCTTAATACTCATGCATTAATAATAAAAAGATTTAAAAGTTCTTATGTAATTATTTAAAAAACTAAAGCAAATGTTCAATTTAGAAGAAACTATTTAAATATTTAAATTCTTCTATAAAATTTTGTTAAATTCTTTTTAAATTTAATAATTTTTTAATATTTTTTATTTTAAACCTCAAACTTATAACATTTTATAACAATGACTTGTTAAAATTTCTCTAAATTGTTAAATACTCTTAAGCATTTTTTCATATGCATAAAATAGCTAAGGGCTCTTTTACAAGTCAAAGCTAGTTCTCTACATTTTAAATGTTAACAGACTTCCTTTACCCACAAAAAATATAAAAATAAAATAAAAAATTCCCAAAACTACCGCATTGCAAAACTCTGCAGCAGTTTAACAACTCAAATCAACTTGACTTGAAGTCTACTTCTAGAACAGCAATAAGAATTTTATATATAATTTTTTTCTTTAACAAATTTCATAATAATGCCATGAAATGCGATACAAAATACAATAAAATAATATAAATACTCGTAATACATAAAACATGACATAAACTATATACAAAAACACACACACACTTACATACATACCTATTATACTGTCACTCACAGCAACACTTAGCAAAGAGTTACCAAATGTTGAAACGTTGACGTACTAAAGTCATGTACTAAATATTAAAAAAAAAAAAAAATTACTTGGACTGTACTAGCAACGACTTTTACTAATATCAACTACAGGAGTACATGAAATAACTGTGAGAAACCAGAGAAGTATAGATTGATATCAGTCAAACCAGGAAGAGTATAAAAATAATGAGTATAACGGTTTTTTCTATGGAAAAAATTTAATATACGAGTCTTTTCTGTAGAGTATAACAGTGTTTTGTATGGATCAGATTTTCTATAAAAAATAATGTAAAATAACTTTTCTATAAAAACAAGTATGTAGTTCTAGTTCTGTTCTAGTTCGTGTTCTAGTTCTGTTCTAGTTCTGTCTAGTTCTGTCTAGTTCTGTTCTAGTTCTGTTCTAGTTCGTTCTAGTTCTGTTCTAGTTCTGTTTCTAGTTCTGTTTCTGAGGTTCTGTCTAGGTCTGTTCCTAGTTCTGTTCTAGTTCTGTCTAGTTCTGTTCTAGTTCGTTCTGTTTCTAGTTCTGTTCCTAGTTCTGTTCTAGTTCTGTTCTAGTTCTGTTCTAGTTCTTTCTAGTTCTGTTCTAGTTCTGTTCTAGTTCCCCCCCCCCTGTTCTAGTTTGTTCTAGTTCTGTTCTAGTTCTGTTCTAGTTCTGTTCTAGGTTCTGTTTCTAGGGTTCTGTTCTATGTTCTGTTCTAGTTCTGTTCTAGAAGTTCTGTCTAGTTCTGTTCTAGTTCTGTCTAGTTCTGTTCTAGTGTCTGTGTTCCTAGCTCTGTTCTAGTTCTGTTCTAGGGTCCTGTTCTAGTTCTGTTCTAGTTCTGTTCTTAGGTCTGTTCTGTTCTAGTTCTGTTCTAGTTCTGTTCTTAGTTCTGTTTCTAGTTCTGTCTAGTTCTGTTCTAGTTCTGTTCTAGTTCTGTTCTAGTTCTGTTCTAGTTCTGTTCTAGTTCTGTTCTAGTTCTGTTCTAGTTCTGTTCTAGTTTGTTCTAGTTCGTTCTAGTTCTGTTCTAGTTCTGTTCTAGTTCTGTCTAGTCTTCTAGTTCTGTTCTAGTTCTGTTCTAGTTCTGTTCTAGTTCTGTTCTAGTTCTGTTCTAGTTCTGTTCTAGTTCTGTTCTAGTTCTGTTCTAGTTCTGTTCTAGTTCTGTTCTAGTTCTGTTCTAGTTCTAGTTATTCTGTTCTAGTTCTGTTCTAGTTCTGTTCTAGTTCTAGTTCTAGTTCTGTTCTAGTTCTGTTCTAGTTCTAGTTCTAGTTCTGTTCTAGTTCTGTTCTAGTTCTGTTAGTTCTGTTCTAGGTTCTGTTCTAGTTCTAGTTCTGTTCTAGTTCTGTTCTGTTCTAGTTTCGTGAAAAGAATGGTCTAGTTCTGTTTCTAAGTTCTTGTTCTAGTTCTGTTCTGTTCTAGTTCTGTTCTAGTTCTGTTCTAGTTCTTTCTAGGTCTGTTCTAGTTCTGTTCTAGTTCTTGTTTTCTAGTTCTGTTTCTAGTTCTGTTCTAGTTCTGTTCTAGTTCTGTTCTAGTTCTGTTCTAGTTCTGTTCTAGTCTGTTCTAGTTCTGTTCTAGTTCGGTTCTAGTTCTGTTCTAGTTCTGTTCTAGTTCTGTTCTAGTCTGTTCTAGTTCTGTTCTAGTTCTGTTCTAGTTCTGTTCTAGTTTCTGTTCTAGTTCTGTTCTAGTTCTGTTCTAGTTCTGTTCTAGTTCGTTCTAGTTCTGTTCTAGTTCTGTTCTAGTTCTGTTCTAGTTCTGTTCTAGTTCCTGTTCTAGTTCTGTTCTAGTTCTGTTCTAGTTCTGTTCTAGTTCTGTTCTAGTTCTGTTCTAGTTCTGTCTAGTTCTGTTCTAGTTCTGTTCTAGTTCTGTTCTAGTTCTGTTCTAGTTCTGTTCTAGTTCTGTTCTAGTTCTGTTCTAGTTCTGTTCTAGTTCTGTTCTAGTTCTGTTCTAGTTCTGTTTCTAGTTCTGTTCTAGTTCTGTTCTAGTTCTGTTCTAGTTCTGTTCTAGTTCTGTTCTAGTTCTGTTCTAGTTATTCTAGTTTGTTCTAGTTCTGTTCTAGTTCTGTTCTAGTTCTGTTTAGTTCTGTTCTAGTTCTGTTCTAGTTCTGTTTCTAGTTCTGTTCTAGTTCTGTTCCTAGTTCTGTTTCTTAGTTCTGTCTAGTATTCTGTTCTAGTTCTGTTCTAGTTCTGTCTAGTTCTGTTCTAGTCCTGTTCTAGTTCTGTTCTAGTTCTGTTCTAGTTTCTGTTCTAGTTCTGTTCTAGTTCTGTTCTAGTTCTGTTCTAGTTCTGTTCTAGTTCTGTTCTAGTTCTGTTCTAGTTCTGTTCTAGTTCTGTTCTAGTTCTGTTCTAGTTCTGTTCTAGTTCGTTCTAGTTCTGTTCTAGTTCTGTTCTAGGTTCTTGTTCTAGTTCTGTTCTAGTTCTGTTCTAGTTCTTTATAGTTCTGTTCTAGTTCTGTTCTAGTTCTGTTCTAGTTCCTGTTCTAGTTCTGTTCTAGTTCTGTTAGGTTCTGTTAGTAGTCTGTTCAGTTCTGTTCTAGTTCTGTTTCTAGTTCTGTTCTAGTTCTGTTCTAGTTCTGTTCTAGTTCTGTTCTAGTTCTGTTCTAGTTCTGTTCTAGTTCTGTTCTAGTTCTGTTCTAGTTCTGTTCTAGTTCTGTTCTAGTTCTGTTCTAGTTCTGTTCTAGTTCTAGTTCTGTTCTAGTTCTAGTTTGTTCTAGTTCTGTTCTAGTTCTGTTCTAGTTCTGTTCTAGTTCTGTTCTAGTTCTGTTCTAGTTCTGTTTAGTTCTGTTCTAGTTCTGTTCTAGTTCTGTTCTAGTTCTGTTCTAGTTCTGTTCTAGTTCTGTTCTAGTTCTGTTCTAGTTCTGTTCTAGTTCTGTTCTAGTTCTGTTCTAGTTCTGTTCTAGTTCTGTTCTAGTTCTGTTCTAGTTCGGTTCTAGTTCTGTTCTAGTTCTGTTCTAGTTCTGTTCTAGTTCTGTTCTAGTTCTGTTTAGTTCTGTTCTAGTTCTGTTCTAGTTCTGTTCTAGTTCTGTTCTAGTTCTGTTCTAGTTCTGTTCTAGTTCTGTTCTAGTTCTGTTCTAGTTCTGTTCTAGTTCTGTTCTAGTTCTGTTCTAGTTCTGTTCTAGTTCTGTTCTAGTTCTGTTCTAGTTCTGTTCTAGTTCTGTTCTAGTTCTGTTCTAGTTCTGTTCTAGTTCTGTTCTAGTTCTGTTCTAGTTCTGTTCTAGTTCTGTTCTAGTTCTGTTCTAGTTCTGTTCTAGTTCTGTTCTAGTTCTGTTCTAGTTCTGTTCTAGTTCTTTCTAGTTCTGTTCTAGTTCTGTTCTAGTTCTGTTCTGTTCTAGTTCTGTTCTAGTTCTGTTCTGGTTCTGTTCTAGTTGAAGTCTTCTAGCGGTGAAAAATATATTCTTCAATTTATTCCATCTTCTACCTTACAACTTATCCTATGCACACAACGACAACATCGAATATTATGTCGAAAAAAGAAAATGAAGAAAAATCGTTTTTAGAAACAAATTTATAAAATACTCATGTACACAAGTCTGAAAGAAACATTCAGTTCAAGTTGGAGGGCAGAACCAACAAAAAAATTAAATAAATAGAAAATGACAGAACGAAAAAATACCCAAAGAGTTTCCTGTCGGATTTCATACACTGCATTTTAAAAAAATTTTTATTCCAAAAAAGAAGAAAAAGTACTATACAAGAGAAGAGAAAAATTATGCAGAAAAAAGGAATGCAAATGAAATGAAAGAATTCTTCAAATAAATTGTGCATAAATATTTATTACATTTGGAAGTTTAAGAAAGAATTTAAAGTTTAGTTTAAAAAAAATGTTTTACCATTATTAGCAATTTCTTCCATAATTTCAAGTTTTCACTTTTTTATTAAAATTTTTTTCCATTTCACAAAAATAAAACTAAAATTAAAAAAAAACACACAAAATTTCTTAAAACTAAATTCTATTCGTAATCATGGAAATCTTGTCCATCGTAGTACAATGAACAACTGGTAATAAAACGTACATTTTTTCTTTCCTCAACCACTAAAGGTTCCTCCTGACACACTAAACCAGGCTTTTTATTAGCGGGAGCATTTTCATATACCACCGTATGGGGCATGCTAATTCTAGTCTCTTCATCTCCTGCATTAGTGGTGGTGGGTGAATAGACGGGATTTTCGGCTCCCCTTCTCGAAGGTCTTGTCCACATTCTCGTGTGATTTGTATTAGAATCCTTAAGTTTACAGCAGCATTTGATGAGGGAAAGATATAATTAAATAGAGCGCCAATAAAATGAGGGCAATAACACGGTACCCAAAATAGTGGAGGCAAAGGTATCGGGTCTGATCAAAAACCATATAATGGGAAAGAAGATAAACCAATACACAGCAAATATAGCTATCTGCCAATATTGAAGACGTGTAAATCGTGCCATTTTTGTTGTTGTAACACTTTCTCAAATATTTTAAATAATTTTTAAATTGTTCTTCTCTTTAATGTTGTTTTTATGCGGGTTCAATACAAACTAATTTCGTTGGATTCGTTTTTGTTTGAAAAACTGTATTTCCTTACTCCCATGTGGTGGTCGGTCAGCAAGTTTTATTCTGCGGTTTTAAATATATATTTTTTTATACAAATAAACGTTTGTAACCTTGACTTGCGATTCAGTTTTGTGATAAAACTCATTATTTCCACTACTTTTTAAAAAATTTCAAAGGTTTAGTATAAATATGTTTTAATAAAAGTATAAATATAAAATATTTTAAAAAATACATTTACAAGAAATGAGTAAAACATAAAAGAGTTTTTATGATAAGCATTTGAAAAATATTGTATGGACAAGAATTGCTCAATTTTTTATCGTTATAAAAAGAAAAAATTATTTCTTTTAACATAAATTTCATAATTAAAAATAAAATAAACAATATATAAAGTGCCGCAAAACGCACGGACAGAATTTTAAAGAAATCTACAATAAAGTCAGTTTTATTTCTAGTTCTGTTCTAGTTATGTTCTAGTTCTGTTCTAGTTCTGTTCTAGTTTAGTTCTGTTAGTTCTGTTCTAGTTCTGTTCTAGTTCTGTTCTAGTTCTGTTCTAGTTCTGTTCTAGTTCTGTTCTAGTTCTGTTCTAGTTCTGTTCTAGTTCTGTTCTAGTTCTGTTCTAGTTCTGTTCTAGTTCTGTTCTAGTTCTGTTCTAGTTCTGTCTAGTTCTGTTCTAGTTCTGTTCTAGTTCTGTTCTAGTTCGTTCTAGTTCTGTTCTAGTTCTGTTCTAGTTCTGTTCTAGTTCTGTTCTAGTTCTGTTCTAGTTCTGTTCTAGTTCTGTTCTAGTTCTGTTCTAGTTCTGTTCTAGTTCTGTTCTAGTTCTGTTCTAGTCTGTTCTAGTTCTGTTCTAGTTCTGTTCTAGTTCTGTTCTAGTTCTGTTCTAGTTCTGTTCTAGTTCTGTTCTAGTTCTGTTCTAGTTCTGTTCTAGTTCTGTTCTAGTTCTGTTCTAGTTCTGTTCTAGTTCTGTCTATCTGTTCTAGTTCTGTTCTAGTTCTGTTTGTTCTAGTTCTGTTCTAGTTCTGTTCTAGTTCTGTTCTAGTTCTGTTCTAGTTCTGTTCTAGTTCTGTTCTAGTTCTGTTCTAGTTCTGTTCTAGTTTGTTCTAGTTCTAGTTCTGTTCTAGTTCTGTTCTAGTTCGTTCTAGTTCTGTTCTAGTTCTGTTCTAGTTCTGTTCTAGTTCTGTTCTAGTTCTGTTCTAGTTCTGTTCTAGTTCTGTTCTAGTTCTGTTCTAGTTCTGTTCTAGTTCTGTTCTAGTTCTGTTCTAGTTCTGTTCTAGTTCTGTTCTAGTTCTGTTCTAGTTTGTTCTAGTTCTGTTCTAGTTCTGTTCTAGTTCTGTTCTAGTTCTGTTCTAGTTCTGTTCTAGTTCTGTTCTAGTTCTGTTCTAGTTCTGTTCTAGTTCTGTTCTAGTTCTGTTCTAGTTCTGTTCTAGTTCTGTTCTAGTTCTGTTCTAGTTCGTTTAGTTCTGTTCTAGTTCTGTTCTAGTTCTGTTCTAGTTCTGTTCTAGTTTGTTCTAGTTCTGTTCTAGTTCTGTTCTAGTTCTGTTCTAGTTCTGTTCTAGTTCTGTTCTAGTTCTGTTCTAGTTCTGTTCTAGTTCTGTTCTAGTTCTGTTCTAGTTCTGTTCTAGTTCTGTTCTAGTTCTGTTCTAGTTCTGTTCTAGTTCTGTTCTAGTTCTGTTCTAGTTCTGTTCTAGTTCTGTTCTAGTTCTGTTCTAGTTCTGTTCTAGTTCTGTTCTAGTTCTGTTCTAGTTCTGTTCTAGTTCTGTTCTAGTTCTGTTCTAGTTCTGTTCTAGTTCTGTTCTAGTTCTGTTCTAGTTCTGTTCTAGTTCTGTTCTAGTCTGTTCTAGTTCTGTTCTAGTTCTGTTCTAGTTCTGTTCTATTTCTGTTCTAGTTCTGTTCTAGTTCTGTTCTAGTTCTGTTCTAGTTCTGTTCTAGTTCTGTTCTAGTTCTGTTCTAGTTCTGTTCTAGTTCTGTTCTAGTTCTGTTCTAGTTCTGTTCTAGTTCTGTTCTAGTTCTGTTCTAGTTCTGTTCTAGTTCTGTTTTAGTTCTGTTCTAGTTCTGTTCTAGTTCTGTTCTAGAACAGATTTTTCTGAACTAGAACAGATTTTTTGTAATAGTTTTATTCACGGAATATCATAAAAATCAATTTAAATTGCTTTAAAAAAGCCCAAGAAAGTAAATTCCCTTTATGTTAAACGATAAAGTATTTAAATAAAATTGCCTAACATAAATTTCGTATATCTAAAGCTGTAATTAAAAATCTTACAAGCCATTAAGCATGAGTCATGAGCTCTTTTGCTGGTAATTTAGTTGATGTTTTACATTAAATTTTTAATTAAAATTTAGATGAAATATACACGATGTTGTTGTTGTTATTGTGAAAACAAATATTTCCTATTAGGAAGTTGAGATAAAACATGTAGAGAGTACCTGAAGGTCAAAAACCACACAAACACACACATACGTGCAAGAATATATACTCAATGCTACAATTTTACAGTTACTATTAAACTGAAAAGAGAGAAGCAGAGAAGATTATTTTTGTACTGTGGAATAAATATACACGCAATTGTAATATACATTACCATAAATATAATGATTAACATTTAATGTTTCAAGATCTAAACAGTTGGCTCAACCAACAACAACAACTACAACTTTTTATTGGGAGACTGTACAAGAAAATTTACATTTTATACTCTCTGGCTTTACTATTGAAATAATTTCATTTGTAACTATTCAAACGGAAATGAAATAGAGTAAAAAACATAACGCTACTTATTCAAGTGGTGAAAAAAACTGTAAACTGAATAGAAAAAGCTTGCCAAGGAAACTAAATAACATCCCTTACAATCATAGCAAACATTCATTCATTCACACTTATTCACACATTTTGTTTAGAAATACCTACACATCGAGATGCCTTGACATTAAACAAAAAAATGTGAAAAAATATATGTATAAGAAGAGTGTGTTATGAAAATATGAATAAAAAAATACACACGCATTATTGCATGTACTACTTGAACAAAAATCGAAAAAAAGAAATGTAATGAAATGAATTTGAAGAAGAGTAAAGTGAAAAAAATAAACACTAAAACAGAAATCATATAATGAAGCATATTTTAGGGTTCTGTAAATTAAGTGTGTAAGTGGGTGAGCGAGTAAATGTGAGAGTTTGTTATTTGTATGTGTGTGCCTGCGTGTGAATATATATAATAAACCAAATAAACTTTGACATTAAAAATTATATTTATTTATACATTATATTTTCATTGTATACAACAAAAAATTCTAATAATTTTTCTCACTTTCAGAAATACAAGAAAAAAATTAAAAGTATGTGTTATAGAAAAATATTCGCAAAACGTGAAATTATGTCGTTTTCCCACTACACTATATTTATACAATTTGCAAAAAAAAAAAAACAATTTGTATTGAAAAATATATTGAAGGATTTACTTGAAAAAAAAAAAATAAAAGAGCAAAAACCCTGAAAATATACTTAGCAACGCACAGCAGTTATAATTGCGATAAAAAATATAATTTTATGGCTCACTCCCTCTATTTATCGCACCCACTTACTAATGCTCTTAGTTCTACAGGTTCGTGTAGCAATCTTTGTTTGTTTGTATTTAACATTCTAACATACTTTAGGGGAAAATAATGTCCTTTTCTTACTGAGTCTTAGCGTACATTAGGGCAAAGAATAATAAATTGTAGTATACATTTGGCTTAACATAAAAAGGTCGGATATTTTGTGAAGTGACATCACTAAACACAAAGGTCCAAACTTTTTACGATATTTAGAAAACAACAAGAGAGATTGAACACACTAGAACAGAAACGTAAGCAGAACGAATCTAGAATAGCACAGAACGGAGACTAGAACAAACTAGAGACAGAACTAAAATAGAACTAAACCGCCACTAGAAACAGACTAGAACAGACGAGAACAGAACTAGAATAGAACTAAAAATGAACTAGAACAGAACTACTAGAAAAGACTAGACCAGAACTAGACCAGAACTAGAACAGAAACTAGAACAGAACTTAGAACAGAAATAGAACAGAACTAGAACATAGAACTGAACTAGAACTGAACTAGAACTGAACTAGAACTGAACTAGAACTGAACTAGAACTGAACTAGAACTGAACTAGAACTGAACTAGAACTGAACTAGAACTGAACTAGAACTGAACTAGAACTGAACTAGAAACTGAACTAGAACTGAACTAGAACTGAACTAGAACTGAACTAGAACTGAACTAGAACTGAACTAGAACTGAATTAGAACTGAACTAGAACTGAACTAGAACTGAACTAGAACTGAACTAGAACTGAACTAGAACTGAACTAGAACTGAACTAGAAACTGAACTAGAACTGAACTAGAACTGAACTAGAACTGAACTAGAACTGAACTAGAACTGAACTAGAACTGAACTAGAACTGAACTAGAACTGAACTAGAACTGAACTAGAACTGAACTAGAACTGAACTAGAACTGAACTAGAACTAGAACTGAACTAGAACTGAACTAGAACTGAACTAGAACTGAACTAGAACTGAACTAGAACTGAACTAGAACTGAACTAGAACTGAACTAGAACTGAACTAGAACTGAACTAGAACTGAACTAGAACTGAACTAGAACTGAACTAGAACTGAACTAGAACTGAACTAGAACTGAACTAGAACTGAACTAGAACTGAACTAGAACTGAACTAGAACTGAACTAGAACTGAACTAGAACTGAACTAGAACTGAACTAGAACTGAACTAGAACTGAACTAGAACTGAACTAGAACTGAACTAGAACTGAACTAGAACTGAACTAGAACTGAACTAGAACTGAACTAGAACTGAACTAGAACTGAACTAGAACTGAACTAGAACTGAACTAGAACTGAACTAGAACTGAACTAGAACTGAACTAGAACTGAACTAGAACTGAACTAGAACTGAACTAGAACTGAACTAGAACTGAACTAGAACTGAACTAGAACTGAACTAGAACTGAACTAGAACTGAACTAGAACTGAACTAGAACTGAACTAGAACTGAACTAGAACTGAACTAGAACTGAAACTAGAACTGAACTAGAACTGAA